TTTATTCACTGATTTCCTCAGTAATAGACTGTGAACTGGTACCATAAGCTAAAGTGAAGATTTTCCTCTGCCAAAATTGCATTTTTCAAGATATTAGCCAAAGCAGCAGAAAGGAAACTAAAAATACCATGTCCAATAAATGTTGTCAGTAAGTTAATGGGTGTGAGCCATCCACTGAAGCATGGGGAACCTACAAAATTCTACACCTTCAAGAAGAGTGATTTGTCCTCCTCCATCAGCTATCAACTGGCCATAGTCCTCTTCATAGAAGTAGGACTCACCTGGAGCACCTTCCCATTTGTGTGAGAAGTTGACTGGCTTAGTTTTATGTAAGTGATTCTCATGTAAGTAACCATGTAGATCAGTTGAGGAAGAATATCACATGATTTTTTTGTTCTTTGCATTTTTATAGTTGTTTTATTGAGGACTACATTATGTGTGGGTACAATGATAGATATTTTGAGTGTACTTAAAGATTATACTAGTTTAGTAACGTGGTGTTTGTAGGTTCTGCTCCAAAATACCTAAACTCACTAGCCCTGCTTGGTTAGCTATGTTCCCAGGACCAGGCATGATTTTTCTCTTGTTGTTTCTTATGTCCCATTAGGGAGGTCTTAGTTGCCATCAAGATATAATACTACTATTGCATCCTTAGGTTTTCGTACCATATTGGTCATTGTAGTTGATATGCATAACAGCTGGGGAGAGCTGGGGAGGATAATTAGTTGCTTCTCTCCCTTGGAAACTTGCATGTTACCCTCTGGTACTCTGAAAGTTAGTTATCAGGTAGGAATGCTTCAGGAGGTCAGATAAAGCTTGGATTCTTCTGATCCTATATTTAAATGATGTCATCAGCAATAAAGACTCAGTGACATTTCTTGAATGGAAACAATGACAAGAATATTAGTCTATAATGTTTAAGAGTCTTTGAAATTACCTAACCAACAACTTGAATGAGAGACTCCTATGACTGGTATTGAGCTTTGCTTGTTTTGTTTTGTTTTTTGTTTTTTTTTTTTTTGTTTGTTTAAGGTATCTAGGGCTCTTGGGAAAAGCATTGTTAACACAGACAGAAACATTAATTTAAACTATGTATGTATATGTGAACACACATATACCTATACTTATGTGTTTTATGCAATTTTAGCTAAATAGATACTAATATGATTCCTTGAAATGTTAAAAAACACCGTTTCTATAATTCCAGCCTCCTTCAACTCTCTCCTATCTTAGTCTTCTTTCCTTTAATTCTTCCTATTTCTCCCATTAAATTTTGCTTATCCTGCTTCCCCAAACACATGTTCCCTATTGTATCTTTCTGGCCTCTGAGGTTACTCTGGGTTATATTTTTACTTTTGAAGATTTGGAATTATTATCTCTACAATTTCCATTGGTGTTAGGAGTTCAGTGGCAGAACATGTGGCATTTTTCTTTTTGGATCTTGGTCAACTCATATAAAATAAGTTTTCTAGTTACATTGACTGACATGCAGAGTTTAGGATGCACTGTTTTTTCACTTTAAATATTATTCCACAGTGTATAAGAGCCACATTTTCATTATCCATTCATCAGTAGAAAGACTTTTAGCTTGTTTCCATTTCTTAGTTACTGTGAATAGAACAGCAATAGAACATGGATAAGCAAATACCTGTGGACTAGAACATAGAGTTCTTTGGACATAGACCCAGAAGTGGCATAGCTTGAAAATTTAAGAGACATGTCTTAAGTATTTAGAATATTCTCCACACCTGGTTCCAAAGTAACTGCACCAATATGAATTCTTCTGAGAATGAATGTGGGTTCCTATTCCCAACACAACTTCCCCGGCATTTGTTATCAGCTGTTTATTGTGGGTTTTTTGGATCTATATAATCTGACTGGGTTGAGAAGAAATCTCAGAGTTATTTTATCTTTTTTGCATTCCCTAATTGCTAACAATGATGAACAATATTGAGAATATTTTGGCCGTTTTTATTTCTTCTGAGAATTCCATCTAGACAGCCATGTTTTCGACCAGCTGCATTTTCTTCACCAGGAAGGGATGGAGTGAAAAGGGTTGGTTTAGTAAGAATAGCATGGGATCAAACTGGATTCTCTGAATGTGGTTGACAATTGGGGCAGACTAAGGGGCCAATGATAATGACACTGGGATTTGTCTCTATTGCATATATTGATTTTTTGGGATCCTATTCTCTTTGGATGCGCACCTTCCTAGCCCTGGATATAGAGGGGAGGTCCTTGGACTTCCCACAGGGCGGGGTGCCTTGCCTTCTCTTAGGACTGGAGGGGGTAGTGGAGGAGGTGAGGGAAAGGGAGGGAAGTGGGAGGAGTGGAGGAAGTGGGAATTTTGATTGATAATATTTATAAAGTAATATAAAATAAAATAAAATAATTAAAAAATTGTGGATGTGGTTTGAAGTCACATTTGTTGGTGGTGTACTTCCACTAGGGGGCACTGCAGAGTTTCTAGAAATTATGTTTTCTTAAGGCACCTAGATGCTTGAGGATCCCAGAAGAGACATAAGACAATCAACTGTTAAAGCAAGGAATAGGAGTGATGGCGTGGAGTTGAACAAACCTTTAGATCTCAATCGTTACATAGATATCTAGTGCTGGTTCACTGGATCTTACATGTTTATCAGTCTATTTTAAAAACAAATCTCTGAAAAGATGGAAGCAAAATAGAATCTCACTGGATATTATGAGGTTGGACATTCAAGAGAAAACATATCCACTGCTTTTATTTTTTAATTTCATTTTTAAAATTGTTCCTATATTCAAAAAATTAGAAATTATCCAAATACCATTTATATCATACATAATATATACATATCTATTTCCCTAATTATCTATCTATCTATCTATCCCCTAAGCTATAAAGAAAAGGAATAAATATTTAATAAAAAAATCTGGTAAATAAAAGGTATGAAAAACTGATAGTGTATAGATCTTGGTTTATTGATACAAATTTAAGGTCAATTTTGTTATATGTATATGCATTTTTGATCTTGTTTAAGGTATTGTGTAGCTCATTTAAAAATGTAATATATAATTAAGAAATATAAGTTAATAAGTAATCATCTATAATAGTCAAGCTTATAGTCATGTTAGTCAGATTTTCTAGATATATAGAGATATAATTCAGTTTGATAGGTATTCTTCAAATCTTTCAGAGACCTTCAGAATATGGCATTTAAAATGTTTTAATAATTTAGGAGTTATCATGAAAATGAGACACATCTCGCTGCCTAGACAGTTATCCAAAGTTCTTCTGTACCGTTGGGACATCCATCTTTAGCCGACAGGCCCATAGTATCCACCAGATTTTTCCATGAACCATGAAGCAGGAAATTTCAAAGACAGGTCCGCCTATATTGGCAGTTTGCCAGTCATTTTCTTCTGTATCCTACAGAATGTCCGGCAGACTCTTTCATGAAGTAGGAACCCCACGGGATCATCTCACCTTTAGGCAAGTTTAGCAATCATCTCTCTGTGGGTTCTTCATGTGCAGTTTATGCAACAGACCAGGCAAGAACAGTTTCTTGCCCAAATGGCTAACCAACTTCATAAAGAATCTCTTCAATTCCCATCATCCTCTTGAAGTAGCTTGGTGCTGCCAAAAGCAGATGTGTCTCATTGTCATGAAAAGTCCTAAGTTATTAAACAATTTTAAATGCCATATTCTGAAGGACTCTAAAAGATTTGAAGAATGCTTAACTAAATGAAATATATCTCTATACATCTAGAAAATCTAACTAACATGACTACAAACTTGACTATTATAGATGATTATCTATTAACCTGTATTTCTTAATTATAAATTATATTTTTATATGAACTACACAATCACAATACCTCAATCAAGAGCATATAACAAAATTGACCTTAAGTTTGTATCAATAAACCAAGATCCATAACAATGCAAATTATTCATATCTCTATCATATCCTCCTTTAAATGTAAAAGAACAGGGGTCTCACTGAACTTGAGCATGAATTCACAGCCTGGTCAGAATCAGGTGATTTTTGTTGCATAACTGCTGGAAAGATCTGGGCAGAAGGCAAGAGATGGAAAATAAATCATGGTGAAAAAGTGGGCATGCCTCATTTTTCTTAAAACCAATTAAACTGTGTTTTGGAACGTTTTCTATGCACATGATGATCTGATAATTTCAAGAAATTCTTTTTATTCCTTGTAGTGCATTAGATGCCCATTTGTCCCCCTGTGTGATTTAAGGTGCCAGCAGTTTCTCACTGGGTACATTCAATACACTGAAGTGTGGTCCCATGCCTAGCAGTAGATGGCCACACAGAACGACCCCAATGATGTTTTTGTATCATACTACTTTGTTGTGTTTTATTTATTTATTCATGTATTGGTCTTACAGAACTTTTGTCTATTTTTTAATGCTTACCTGTTTTTTCTTTTATGGGTTTTGTGTATATGTTTATTCTTTGTTATTATTTTTTAATTCTGGTTGCTTATTTGACTGTCTATTTTCTTTCTAAAAAAAGGGGGGGGGAAGAGAAAGGGCATGTCTTTGGGTGGATGAGGAGACAGGAAAGATCTAGGAGGAGTTGGCCATTGGGAGACATGATGAGAATACAATGCATGAAATTGTTTTACAAAATGAAGATCCAAAAAGTCTTACTAGAATTCTGCAAGGCTCTGCTTAAACCACTGGAGCCATTAGTTTTCATGCCAATATTCGGCACTTACGAATTCCCCTCCTCACCACCACCCGCAAATTTCTCTTATAATAAGGGTTACATTAGAAATCTGGTGTCCTGGGCTCTATATCATTGTCCTCCACAGTTGTGCAGCAATAACCATGCAGACTCTTGAGATGGAGGTGGGTGGGGTTTCTTGTTCAGATGAATGAGGAAGCTCAGTGCTTCAGAGAGAATCTGCTGTGTGTAAGCACAAGTGTGTAAGCACAAGCTCAAGACTTGACACCCTCACAGCTGGAGAGAAGACACCCGGGAAACTGGACAGGGACCATGGAGAGGAAGCTGGGAGTTTTGCTGGGGATTCTCTGTGTGCAGATTTGCTGTGAGTTGTGCTCCAATAAATTGTTTTAGGGATTCTCTAGAGATGGCAGTGGTGGAGGGGGAATGAGCCAACTCAAAGCCCCTGTACAGTCATCCTCATGGTGTCTCCTGGGATATTTGACAGGTGTGAGTGAAAACCCTTCATTGATTCTGATTTGCTTTTCTGTTTCCAAGCAGGGGTGACAGGAGCTGAGGTGGAGCAGAGTCCTTCAGCCCTGAGTCTCCACGAGGGAAAAAGTTCTACTCTGTTATGCAATTTTTCCACAACCATGACAAATGTGCAGTGGTTCCGGCAGAATTCCAGGGGCAGCATCATCAAAATTTTCTACCTGAGTCCTGGAACAAAGGAAAATGGGAGGTTAAATTCAACATTTGTCTCCAAGGAGCGCTACAGTACCCTGCGCATCAGGGATGCCCAGCTGGAGGACTCAGGCACCTACCTCTGTGCTGCTTATGCACAGTGCTCCCTGCAAGTCTGCAGCCTGTCTGCAAACTGCAGGTGGGTGTGCAGCTACAGTGCTAACATGAGGAGACTCTGCAGGAGGCTTTTCACAGCTGTGGCTTTATCAGATCTCCACCAATTAAAAGGTGTGAGGAAATACAAAAATACCAGAACTTAAATTTAGATTGACATGACACCCACTTAAGGAAGCTTAACTATTCAGAAACATCAGCCCACCTGACTAAGATGCAGACTTTTATTTTCTCAAATGCTTGCACTAATATCATGAAATAAAAACCTCTCTTGCACATTTTAGAATCATTTGGATCATTTCTCAAAATTGGAAACCTAGAGTAACTGTTTCCATCCTGTATTTGAGAGCATGAGACACTTCCAGCTAATTTACTCTATATAAGGTTGATAAAAGAATTAAATTTGAAGATCTAATAAATTAAGTTTTAAAAAGACAAGATAAACCAATCTTACTATTAATTTAAGACATCACATCTATGTCTCCATATTTTTAAAAGTATAATACATTTAATTATACAATATAAAACAAACATTTCACATAAAATGATCAGAACCAAAAAAAGACAAACTAGAGATATATATTTGCAATTTATCACAATGATATTTGCAACAATTAATTATATAAAAATATTTGCATTTCTGAAATGTAATATAGAAATGTAATACAAAAGTTCTCTTTGAAACTTTGCTTGTTTTCATTTTCTTTGTCTTTTTTTTTTTTCAAGACAAGGTTTCTCTGTCCCCGTTGGAGCCTGTCGTGAACTAACTCTTGTAAACCAGGCTGATCTCGAACTCACAGAGATTGTCTTGTCTCTGCCTCCTAAGTACAGGGATAAAAAGTGTGTGCCACCACCATAGGGTGAAACGTTGCTTTCAAAAGAAAAAGTGGAAACTTCCTAAAGATTATACAATAAGGGACTAATTCATTATGCAAAAATTAAATATGATCCATACAACTGTTGTTTCCACAAGGGTTTGCAGATGATAATCTACAGTTAAAACATCAGGACTACCATTAGTCTCTATAAGGAACCAGAAAGCAGCCATGCTTAGTCATTCATGAATTGTCTGTTTATGACTATTTTCATGTGGAAGTAGCAGCCAATTTCAACTTTTGTGATTCATTCAACTCTATCCCCATTGCAACTACATTTGTTTAAAATATAGATTATTTGAGCTACCCAGATAATAAACAATTCCTAATTTTTAATAAGATTTATATGCCCATGACTAGAAATGGTGACATTAGAAGTAACAGCTTTTTTTACAATAAGAATTGTTGATAGGGTATAATTCTCATAGGTCTGCCTTTATATGTTACTTGGCCTTTCCCCTTTGCAACTTTTAATATTCTTTTCTTGTTCTGGGTTTTTAGTGTTTTGATTATTATGTGTCAAGGGAACTTTCTTTGATGGTCTAATTTATTTGTTCTACAAGCTTCTTGTACCTTTATAGGCATGTCATTACTTCTGCCCATATCTAACTCCATACTTTCCTTCTTTCCTTTTACAAATATGCAAGTAAATACACAAAGAGGCCAGAATAGAAAAAACAAAAAACAGTAAAATATTATAGCTATGAGAAGCTCATATATATGCAAAGGCACAGGCACACACACACACAAAATATTTAAAACAACAAAATTCGAAACCATAGCAGATAAGCAAGTGACAAATTTGTTTAATAATGACTCAGATTATAAGGCAAAAATATACCCACAAAAATATAATTGAGTTTATTTGAGTTGGTCATCTACTGCTGGGTATGAGGCCTGCCCTTAAGTGTGGTTTGTATAACCAGTGAAATGCTGTTGGAGAAAACCAAGTTTTTCCTTGTGAGCAGTTCTCAGCTGGAGACAGCTCTTTGGTTGGGGAATGGTGTCCATCTCCCCTTCTCAGCACTGAGTCCCCATCTGTATTGGATGTGTACAGGCCCTTTGTGTGTCGCCACCACCTCTATGAGTTCATATGTAAGCCAGTGTTATTGTGAATGTAGGGCATCATTTCCTTAGTGCCTTCTATCCCCAATGAATCTTACAATCTTTCTGTTTTATCTTCTGCAAATTTTCCTGAACTCTGAGTGGAGAAGTTTGATGGAGACATTCCCTTTAGTACTTGATGTTCCAAGGTCTATCATTCTCTTCATATTTTCCAGTTATGTGATTTGCATGTTTGATCTATTATACTACAACTTGATGCTTCCCTGATGATGGCTGAACAAGACATTGATGTTGGGTAGAGCAGAAATCATTAGAAGTGATTATATTTCTACCTAGGTTTAGGAGTACAATATTTGATTTTCATTTAGGCACATAGCCTATGCAGTTTCAGAGGCCACTGAAGCAGTAACAGACATGGGTTCCATCTTATGGAGTGGGCCTTAATTCCATTCAGAGCATGTTTAATTACTCCAAAATCACTTGGGCCATTATCACACCAGTGTATCATGTATGAAAATTACCATTGTAGATTAAAGTGTGTATAGTTGGGTTGGTATTTACATTTCTTCACTAGTAACATTCAGAGTATCTTCCTGAACCATGAGCACTAGTTCATAGGGGTAAAAGTTCTATTTATGAACCAGCATGACTTCTACATGTTCAATGAAAATACAATGTAGGTATTGTCTACAACAATAGTACCTTACCACAATTTGTGATGAGCAGCCATTAGCTTTGGTAATTGACTGAGTTGCTGAATATATTCATGGGGCCCCTTTAGACAACAACTCAGTTAGATGACACCTATTTTTGTCACCAGATGTTTCACTTATTGGTAGGAAATGTCTAGTTGGTGCTTTCTTTCCCTGTTATATGGTAGTTTCATTGAAACATATAAATCAATGAAACCACCAAATAACTAGAGAGAAAAAAGAAACCAGGATGCAAAAGCATTCATCCAACAAAGATAAACTCAGAAACTGACAGGTAAACATATAATAACCCCAAACACAGGTGAGTTTATGGCACCACCATAGTGCATCTGTCCTATTTTATAAACCCTGGATGTTCCAATCCAGCTGAAACATAAGAAAATAACCTTAAATCCAATCTCATGAAGACAATAGAGGCTATTAAAGATGAAATTAACAAATCTCTTAAAGAAATCCAGGAAACCACAAAAAACAGGTAAAGAGGTAAAGTCAATGAATAAAAATGTTCAAGACCTGAAAAATGAAAGAAGAAGCAATAAAGAAGGCGCAAGTCAAGGGAATAATGAAAATAGAAAATCTAGATGTGATGGTTTGAGAGAAAATGGCCCACAATGGGAATGGCACTCTTAGGAAGTGCGGCTTTGTTGGTGTGGTATATTTGTAAGTATATTCTTGTTGGAGGAAAGAATTGTCACTGAAGGTTCATACTAAAGTCACACTGAGTGAGTCTACTAGCTGTTGCCTTATGAAAAAAAAAAATAGCCAGCACCATGTCTGATTTCACAACATCATGTCCTCACCATGGTGTTAATGGACTGAATCTCTGAAACTGTAAGTAAGCCACCTTAATGAAATGTTTTTTTCTTTATATGAGCTGCTGTGGTAATGGTGTCTCTTCACAGCAACAGAAACCCTAACTAAGACAGAAGTTGGTACCAGAGACTGAAGTATTACTCTGCTAAGCCCAACCATAGCCTTGTTTAAAGGAATATGGAGCATGGGACATAGATTAGAAAAGCAGTAGAATGCTTTAAGCCATGATAATAGACCATATTAGTAGCAACATGGAAGAAAGTGGCACTGAGTTATTTGAGCTGCCAAAGACTGGCCCAAGACATTTCAAAGAAGAATTTTAGTATGTTGCCTAGAGATCTTTCTTGTGATATTTTAGTAAAGAGTGTGGCTGATTTTTGCCTTTGTCAAGAGTCTGTCTGAGGTTAAAGTGAAATATTTAAATTAATTCACTAGCAGAGGAAATAGCAAATCAGCCTAGCTGTGTGGTTCTTAGTGGTAACACAAATGAAAATTAAAAATGGAACGGAAATAGCTTATCAAGAAAAATATTTGAGGAAATAGTAGTATCATAAAGTGAAATCAAGCTAAGTCCTGTATTCAAGGAGATAAACAGATTTTAAAAAATAGAATAAAGAGATGGTGACCTCAAAGCAAGATTGCATCCTGATGTAGGTGATGTTTTCTATGTGTTGCTTTCATTGGTTAATTAATAAAGAAACTGCCTTGGCCTTTGATAGGACAGAAAATTAAGTAGGCGGAGAAAACAGAATGCTGGGAGAAAGAAGCCGAGTGAGGCAGTTGCCATGACTCTCCTCTCTGAGTCAGACACACGTTAAGATCTTTCTGGTAAGCTACCACCTCGTGGTGCTACACAGATTAATAAAAATGGGTTAATCAAGAAGTGAGAGTTAGCCAATAAGAGGCTGAAATTAATGGGCCAAGCAGTGTTTAAAAGAATACAATTTGTGTGTTGTTATTTAGGGTATAAAGCTTGCCATGCAAGAGCTGGGCTGGAACGCAGCCCGCTGCTCCTTAAACAACATCCAGCTAAATTTCCAACTTGGGGAAAGTAATTCAAGAAAGGTTAGAGTTGGGTGTGGTGCTGCATGCCTTTAATCCCAGTACTAGAAAGACAGAGGCTGGCAAATCTCTGAGGTTGAGGACAGCCTGGTCCACAGAGCTAGTTTCAGGACAGTCAGGCTTAAGGTAGTGAAAGAAAAAAAAAACTGGTGAAGACATAAGTGAATGAGAGGACCATGTTCCAGATCCAGAAAGCAGCAAAGCTTTGAACCATTGACCACATGGTTCTAGAGTTAAGGAGAAAAGACAGGGCTATGGAGTTTGCTATGAGATTAAGGAAAGCAATTGAGGCCAGGCATGTGTCAGAGGTGTTCCTGGATGGAAGTTTAGAAAAGCCATTGCATGAAGCTTTGAAATTGAAGCCTAGATTTCCTTGGAGGCCTCAAGACATTAGAGATGCCAGATCCTGGAATACCTGTCTGGGACAACTGTTCGCAGGAAGGGAAACCAATCCAAGAGAAATAAGTGTGTTGCAGTCAAAGATTTTGGAGTTTGGCCAACTGATTTTTAGTATTGTTTTTGTCCAATATTTCCTCACCATGCTCACTTCCCTATGTTTGCAATGGTAATGTAGATCTTGTGCCATATATCAGAAGTACGTTATTTGTTTTTTATTTT